AAACATTTTTATAAAAAAAATCACATTAGCTATTTTATAGGACACTATTTGAAAAAATGTCTTATAAAAACAAGTGTCCTATAAAAAGATTTGTTCATAGCTCACTTCTCAAAAGTGTCCTATAAAATAGTTAATACGATTTTTTATATTGAAGACGAAGTATCATGTGAGAATAGGCGTAAGAAGGGGTCATTGATCCAAGAGTGAAGATCCCTTCTTACCCTTCTCACCCTAACCTGAACCAACCTCTATATTGAAAGTATCTTAAAGAACTTGTTAAGACACCCAAAAACATCTTATAAACTTATTACAATACCTTTAGAAAAGAGTTATATTATTTGGTTTTGTAAAATGGTCTACTGACACCTAAAAATTGTTGGCGTCCTATAAACCTGTAGTTGATCAGAAGATAATTGACTCGTTAATCTTATCTTCTTTTGGAATGTGATAGAACGATGATGTTCCTACTAGGGGTGCTCAAAAACCCGACCAGCCCGACCAACCCGATCAACCCAACCCAACCCAATGTGAAATAACCCAACCCGAAGCAACCCGATGTCTAATTGAGTTGTAAAATTGTCAAACCGTAGATATTGGGTTGATATTGGGTTACTATTATTTGAACCCAACCCAACCCGATGAACCCGACGAACTCGATATCCTTTTATTTCTTAGATTTAATATGATTGTTGAATTTTTATTAATATATACATTAGACAATTACACTATCAAGTATGCTTTTCATATACACATATTTCCAATCTATTCATATCTCTATATAACTCATTCAGTAACTGTGAACATATATATGTAAATTGAGAAAATTAACTGAATGTGATATACGTAATAAATATGAATAAGTTGTATCAAATGGTTGATGATGAAAAAGAAATTATGAGTAAAGAAATAACATATTAAAAGTTAGAAGAATATTTTAATATACCAAAGTATCAACCCGACCAACCCGTACGAGTTGGGTTGGGTTGGGTTGCACTTTGGGTTGGGTTGGGTTAAGATTTTTCCAAACCGCAAACATTGGGTTGGGTTGTTCAAATGTCCTCAACCCGATCAACCCAACCCATAAGCACCCCTAATTCCTACATATCGATATTTAGATGTCAACTTTGCATACAACCCTAGTTGTACCGATTCCTATCCATTGCCTACTTTTGGTGTCTTGATCACCACAGCCCCACTATCATGTGGCGATATTCGATGAATGCAACTTCAACAACTTGTATATTTCTCCAAAGTTCCACAATCTTTTGAGGATCACAGCAATATGGATTTTTGATGCCAAATAAGAGAATTTCAATCCATGGGCTAACATCAGCAATCATTGATAAATATGATTTTGCATTCTTGTCGATACTATACTATAAAAGTATTTACCTTATGTTCTTAAAATATTTTTAAAATTCAACTCTACAACTTATTACTACTTACGTACAAAACTTAAAAGCTTCTAACTGATAACATGTTCAAATACTCCACAAATGTTGAGTCCTACTAAATATGACAAAGTACTCCATAAAATTAATCAGTTCAAACATATATATTGGATTTTTTTTAAAGAGAAATTGCATTTATTTTCCATTTTGGGTTTACAAATAAATTTTACATCCTGTTTCATCGTTAGGCTACACAAACTAGTGTATGCTAAACCACAAGGGTGGTGCCTGATTGGTTTGAGCGTGACTCCAAAGGTCAAAAGTACCAGGAGGTCCTAGATTCAAATCTAAGAAGAAATAAAAATCCCCTTGTGGCCACGAAGGTTCAAATGCGGTGACTCCGGGCTATCTGCAAAGCAGGTGGTCGCTCTGGGATTAGTCGGCTCGTATAGCGGGTTGGATATCCAAGTTAATAAAAATAAAAAAACTAGTGTATGCTATGCATATAAATCAGATTCATTCTATAAGTGTTGAAGAGAAGTTAGTTACGATTGAAAGAGAGATCACTTGACAACAGTTGACTACATAATGTAATAAGCTAATTGTCTAATAAAATTGGAAAAACTAATCCATAAAAGTGACCACCAAAGAAAGCAACTCCCCTTCAGTTTTTGTCTACGTATTATTTTCTTCCAGTATGACATAATTTCACGAAATGGGTTTAATAAACACTCAACTCAACTGATGTCTCAAATCTGTTCCATTTCCTCGATCTTTAAAGAAACAACCATTTAGTGTTCTTTAAGATAGAAATCAAGTTTGTTTACATTCCACCCACTAACCCCCCCCCCGCCCAAAGTGTGTTTGGTCATCAAGATTTTTATAGCAAGATTCATCTGTGCCACTTGTGTTATGTGTCGGTGCCACTTGTTTTGTGGATACCAAAGTAAGTAGCTAACTAAAGTCTATGTTGCCTATGTAACTGGGCTACTGGCCATATAAATTGTTCAAACATCTGTGTTGCACAATGAACCTCAAAAGTGTGAAAGCTAATCGACTTTATCATCATTCGAAGCAGATATACGTTTTGCCACTGAATATGGTTCCATTCACTCTAGTGCTTGCTACAAGTTAAACCCCCAAAAAATTCTCTCATAACTCTGCTTCTGATGGCATTACACTAATTAATATATAAGATTACTACTGGAGTTCAAGTTCAAATCAAGAATATTTGGATGGTAGAAATTTAAGCAACGAAGAAAGATAATATTCTCATGTACCTTCCAAGTTGATGGAGTTACCTTCATCTTTCAGTGCATTACAAACCAAACGAATCAGGTATATATCTCACACAAAAGTAGTATTTGAAGGGTAGGATGTAAGCAGATCCATCTTGTCTTTGTGTAGGCCTAAATAGCTAGACTAAAACAAGCAAATACTTTATTAGAACATTACATAAAAATGTTAAGAAGGACCTGTTATTGAAATGGACCCATGAGCAGCAGAATGGGGCCAAGAATCAATCAGACAGTAAAGCAGTGGATCAAGACAACACCTATAAGAAAAAAGGAGATATATTATTGACTTTAAAAGCAATATGCTTCGGTCACCATGAAGGTTACGACTAAATTATTCGGAGATCACACAATATCATAAAACTCAAAAGTTGATCTAATGAAGCTGTTGTATTCAGATACAACACAACCCATTTATCCCAAACTAATTGGGGGCACACGCTTGTATCTATGACCAACTCTTTTTCCTCAATTGTGCAGTTTTAGCTTCTCTTGAAAGATACCACTCCAACCTTCTTTCACCCTAAATCAAATTATGGTATTCAAGCCACCCTTTTGCTCTTCAACCCGAATGGGAAGATCGACAAGTTAGAAGGAAATATTTTTTGTATAAACATGTTTGAGTCCGACATCGACTAGTCTTGGACCATTTCTCCTCCATATATGTGGAAGTTCCCTTCTATGTTAAAGGGCTCTTTTAAAAAGTAATCTAAAAGGGTTCTACATATTCTCATAAGACGCATGGAATTGGTAAAGCATTTTATTTGAACAAATATAGAACCAAAATCAACGGCTTAGTCTCTATTACCGGTTCTCCCTCCTGAGTTGAGACCAATCTATTTCCTCTCCTCTTCAGTGGCCATTGAAGCATGAAGTGGATACGACCGTGATAATGATACATACTATATTTGCACATAATGATATCCTTTTTCTTCCATACCAAGTTGGGAACTTCTTGTCACGTGAAACCTAAAACTGAGTTTTAACATGTAGTTAGCATGCACAATCTATCTCATTAGTCCCTTTTGAGTTCCACATTGGCTAGAAATGGATCATTTATCTTCAATATATATTGGAACGTAGATTTCTTTTCTACTCAAGGCCTCTTTTGGGTTCCATGTATTTTCTTAGTCCTTGGTCCTCACCTCCAAATTTAAGATATATTATCTACGTAAATAATGTGATGATAGCAAGCCTTCTCCAAGAATAAAACGGCTGATCAACAATTAAACAACTTCAGAATTAATGAACACCAACAAAAGAGGAAATTAGAGAAAAGGTATTCCTACCAATGTTTACTGCAAATAAATTAAAATGCAAGTGTAAGATTACACAAGATTGAAAGATCCCACATCTATACCACATTCTGAGCTGGCTTACACAAAAACAATGAATAACATAAAGAAAGGAACAAAAAAAACCATATTGTAATATAACAGAAATTTTTTGAACTTAGGAACTACTTCGGGAGAGTAGTAGGTAACACGTGTTAACCTCTTAATGTAGAATGGGTGTAACAAAATCACAGTCCGAGCCAGCTAACAAAAATTGGATTTTTGTTCAGGACAAAGGACATCTTAAGATAAACCTCTCCTAGTTTCTGCAGAACTCAAAGGTTTTTCCTTTTCTCGTGAACTGGTAAAGATTGATTCTTGACACCCTCGTGAAATCTTTTGTTTGGTCACTCCCGCCTTTTTTAGGCTACCTTCTTTTCCAAATCTGACATCCCATAAGCAGAGCAAAGTTCAAATTTCAATCCATGATGTACAAGTAATTATGAGAGCACTTCCTGGATTTAAAGATTTCAGCTCTGAAAAAAAGGAAATACCTATCTTCTGAATCCAAAGATGTTGATTCTTTCAACTGGGCATGCTTAAAGTCTAAGACACCGAGTTATTGGACGTACCTAACGGGTGACCCAATAAACAAATCACGAGGCCTTAGTGTTTTGATATACTAATTAAGTTCATATGTCAAATATATTACTTCCATTTGTTTGGAACTTTGATATGGTATTAGAGAAGATTATACCGTATAAGACGTCATCCAACTATCCAAGATATGAAAAATACTTGTAAATAGGACGACTAATGGTTCTTGGAGATTCTGATTCTTCCACCATGCTCGAGATAGTTTTTGTCCTGCTCATTTGTGGTGCTTAAGGAGACAAATCATCCAAAATTCTTCTCGTTTGGCCAGCTTTATAGGCCAACTAGCAGGACTCCACCTCATCCCACTGTTCCTGGAGCCTATAAAAGACACACATTGTCACCTATAGACACATATCAGCTCTTGCGCCTACACTTAGAAGAGTGGGTTCTTTCCCTCCCAAGTCTCACCATATTTTGCCTAGCTTTCTGTCATCCCCACTCCTCGTTTTTCCTTTGCATTAGAAGACATAAGCTCAGCCTTGTTTCAACTTTCTTGAGTGTTAATTTGTATGGCATCTAGCTCAATGTCTTCACGTGGATCAGGTTCATGGACTGACAAGCAGAACAAGGCCTTCGAAAAGGCGCTCGCTGTGTTTGACAAGGACACCCCTGACCGCTGGCACAATGTCGCAAAGGCCGTTCCTGGGAAAACGGCACAGGAAGTGGAGAGGCATTTTCAACTCCTTGTGGAGGATATCAACAGCATCGAGAGTGGTCGAGTTCCTTTCCCTAAATACAGGACTACTAAAGGGGCATAATTAAGGTAACATTTATAATCCTACAATGAGCCGGGTTCATTCGTATAGTATGAAGTCCTTCACCTTGTATAGTGTCTAGACACCTAAGTAACCCCAATAGCAGATACATTCACATGTCTAACATGTTGCATCTACCCTCAAATTCACAACATTTTACAGAAAGAGGTAACTACAACCCTCTTGGTATATATCATATACGAATTAAATAGTCATCTGGGGCAATGAATCTAATTTGGCTAGCTGTGTAGATCAGACACTTAACTAGTCATGAAAATTTTAGCTAGTCGTGTGGAGACATTAGTTTGAACAGAAGTTTGCTACCGTAAAAGCAGCAAAAAGACATTCTTGAAAATTTTGCAAACCAATTTGACAGCAATCATGTGATTTTGCAGCTTTCACATCACCAAAGTGGATATTGAAGCCACACCCTAGTAACAGAACTACATACATTGCAACAAACGCATGCATGAAAAGCATATATTTCAATAAAATGCTATATTTCCTGTTAAAATCATGAACCTGTTTGACTATGATGCAGGATAATGAACGTCTCCATGAAAGCAAGCATGGATGATGGACAAGTAGCAATAACAAAGATCCAACGATCGTCTTCTTCAGTACAATTAATTGTAACTAGTATGGGGGAATCATTAGATTGATTCCTTGATGTATTTTGATTTTCTGCTACAAGTTGGCAGATCTCTCTCGTTCTTCATTTATTTTGGCTAAATGCACATCGTCCTTCGAATGCAAATAAGGCGAAATGTGCTTTTCGATTTCTTCTACGTATTCATTAGCATTTTGTCGATCAATAGCAAATCAACTAATGAAATATGTGTTTATTATTTGAGTTCTGATCTAATTTCCTATTCGATCTAGTGAGCAATATTACGTAAGGAATCTGAAAATCAAAAGAAATTAAACAAGAAATTACTTGAATTATAAGTTACCGTTCTAACGATTCTGTAACCTTTGATGACAATATCGCCTCCAATTCATCGCCATGGATGGAACTGCAATCTGCAAAGTAGAAAGGCGGGAAAACGATGGTCCTTCACTAGAGACGAAGGATTGCATCCAGGACCATTGATTGGTGTTTGGACTCCTAATTATCAGTTTTCAAATCTCAAGGTGAAATTGATTTTTAAGTTTTTTAAATAATCATATTTGATAAAATATATATATATATATATATATATATATATAAAACTTAAAATTATAGTATTTTGTTACAACTTATTTTTTACAACCTTTTTTAAATTCCACGTTCCAATTACATAATACACATTCAGGGACTGTTTGTTAGTTGCTGAATGGTATGGTACATAATGAGTAAGTGATCAGAATGATTAAGAGTGAGCATAGGCGGGTACCCGCCCTATTTGACAGGAACCGGAACCGACGGTTCTTGAGATATTAAAACTGGAACCGGTTAGAGCGGTTTTTGAATTTTTGGAACCGGGACCAGAACCGTCGGGAACCGGTTCCGGTTCCAGGTACCCGCTTCCTAAAATATTAAAATTTTGTTATTTAGAAACAAAAGATAAAACATTGTCAAAACACTAAATAAATAAACATGAATAAAAATTATATGAAATAATGATTACAAATATTGTTTAACGATTACAAACCATAATAAACTAATAGTAAATGTTGAAAGTTTAACGATTATATACTATAACTGTAAATATTCAAAGTTTAACGATTACATACTACGAATCAAATTAAACACACAATTTGAAAAAATGTGAATCATTTTATCTCAAATTCTGAATCTCGTTTCAACTTCTTGCATACTCATCGCATCCTCAACCTCGTACGGTACCTATAAATAATTGAGTGTTAAAAAAACTACACAAATTTTATATATAAAAAATTGCATAAACTTTGTATTAAAAACTGCACAAATTATATAAAAAAATTTCACAAATTATATTAAAAAATTTAATTATTTTTTTAATTGAAAAATATCGGGTACCTGTCGGTTCCGGTTCAGGGTACCCGGTCCCGACGGGTAACGGTTCCGAAAAATTGAGAACCGGAACCATTCTCTATCGGTTCCGTATTTTAGGAACGGGATTGGAACCACTCATATCGGTTCCGGTTCCGGTTCCGGAACCGGCAGTTCCAATGCAGTTCCAGTTCCGCAAGTGGGTACCCGGTTCCGCTGCTCACCCCTAAAAATGATTAAGATGCTCTCATGATATAATGTAAAATCAAATATAATTGTTTGGTAGTTGTTTATAATGAAATTAGGGCGCTGAATGGTTAAAGGAGACCCATTATACAAAATCATTCAGCGGGTTTTAGAACCATTAAGAGACAGACCTTTTTTTTGTCAAACAAGATTCACCTCTTAAGGATTCAGAAGTTGTCTCTTAATGAAAATATTAAGAGGTAAACAAACAACCTCCAAGTCTTAGCAATATTATATATACATTTAAATACATGATAAACGTTGACCTATACTAATACAGTATAATACGTTATAAAGTATGTATTATCTTTTTGAATGACTGAATTATATTAACTTTTCATTTGCGATTAATAATAAAATTTTGTATTATGTTACATTGCATGAGTTCATAACTAGTTATAAAAATTTGTTTTTTTTTAAAAAAAATAACAGTATTATTAAGCAAATATGTTAAAGAAAATACTGAACATGCCTGCAAGGTGTAGAGGCCAAAGGGGACACGAAACAAAACAAAAGCTAACGAAAATATTACAAAACAAAGACCACGAAGGTGATGATGGTGTGTGAGTTTTATTTGTTGTATTTGCCGTATATAAATATTATGTATTTAAAAAAAAAAAAAAAACAAGACCACACAGGTGAATCAAACCCGAAAATGGAAAAGAGAGTGTTTAAATTACGAGATGGGAGAAATATCTTTGCGATCAGCAGCTCTCAATTCAAAGACTACGAATAACTGATTATTAAGACAATCCCTAATGATAATCGAGGGCAAATATTTGATTTACCCATTCAAAGCAATTTACGTGAATGATTCTCTGTAATAGAAATAGGAAACATCATGTTTTGGGTACAAGTTTTTCTAACGTTTATTATTTTTATCAGAAAAAATAGACATGTTTGTATGTTGCTTCGATCTCTTACTGATTTTATAGTAAACTTTATATATTCAATTGTTTTTATAGCGTTTTGTACATTATATACAAAACACTCCGTTGAATGTTTCAGTCAGAAAATGTGAATCTCAAAGAAAACTGAATATACGAATTCTCTCCCAATTAGCTGGACCATTGTTGGGATGATTTAATTATGCACACGGTCTTTGGTTGAGGTTCATAAAGACCCGAATCTACTAAAGAAAAGAATAAAAGATGCACTTGACTTGTTCATGCATGCTCGACTTGGTCCAGGGGAAATCCTCGACGGGTACGAAAAATGCGTTTAGAAAAAAAAAATTAATTATTTTAAAATAAAAAGAAAGAAACGAGTTTTTTCAGTAAAAAAAATCCTTAAGTTTCAAAAACACATAATGACATGACCGACCACATGTAATCATAGTTCATGACAAATTTTAAAGTATACAAATTATTAAGCAACAAAAAATATACAAATTAGATTGTATATTAAAATATATGTTGGTTATTATTAAGGGCGGCAATATCATCCTCATCCTTGACTTTAAACCTTAACCCGCTTTAGATAGGAAAAACAATATCCATCCACACCACTTACCCAATTAGCTGGAGATCCTCATCCTGTTAGAGGCGTGTACCTGCTGACGGAGTAAATTTTTCATCAGTAGAGCGATTCATCTAACAGTGAATGGACACTAAACGAAATAAAGATAATGTTTGGTTTCGTTATAGAGGTGATCATTTGCAGACATGGGTTGGGCTCTTGCTGAGCCTAACTTATTTTTTTGTCCAACGGGCCTAATATTATAAACCCAAGTTTTTTTTTTTTCTTTTTTCTGGGAATAACTTGTCATTACCTGCCTTGTAAACAGACCGGGCTTGCCCACAGGCTAACAGGCCTGAAAAATGTAACTCATATAAATCTATAAACTTGATCACGAGCAATTAATTAACAAATATGAAACCAAAAAATAAAGAAAAAACACCGTTGCAATTAAAATTTTAAACAACATATAATGACATATGGATCTCAAAAAGTGGAGAAAGAAATTAAAAACAAATAACCCCTTAGCCTTTTGGGTTCTCAAGAATAACTAAAGAGTCTCATCTTATAACTTTAATAATTTAATTTTAAAATAAACTAGTATAATTTAAATTAAACATAAAAAAATATTAATTATAAAATATAAACGGCTTGAATGATATGTCCATATTTATTTTTACATTGTCCACGTCCGTCCATTAATATTAACGAACAAACTCGGACCCGTCCATTTTCTCGATAATGGTTGTCCAAGCTCGTATTTCTAGCGGATCGGATGGACAAGATTTAACGGGTCATCGTGCCCATGAACAACTCTAGCCGGTTATGGTGAAGAATGAAAATGTAACTACTATTATTATAAAATATAAAAAAATTTAATTATATAGCTTTTCAAAATAAAACTCTTGAATACAGCCGTTTCTATAGTAAATGTTGTTTTTGATATAATTTATTTATTACAAAAATAAATTGAGTAATATATAGAAATTCATTTTGAAGTGGAATCATGGATTTTGAAGAATTTGTTATGTTCAAAATATTTAAAGAATCTGTTGAAGATCCTATAAAAATCGTGAATATACAAAATTTTTAAACACCATAAAACTGATCATTGTGATATTGTAACTTAAGATCACAATGATCAGTTTTATAGTTAATCAAAACCATATATCCCACAAAATTCGATCCAATTGGTTTTTGGGTTAAGCAATTCGATTCACACAAAATCTTTATCCAAAAACCGAACGAAATAAACCAAAACCAAGTAAACCGAACCTAGGTTCAATTCGGTTATTAGGTAGTTTGAAAAAAAGCCGAGAACCGAAAAACACCCAACAAGAGTGCGACTTAATCCCACAATTTCTTTGTAATTTCGATCATCGTTGCAACTAAATTTACTCTAAAAATAAAACTTCTACCAAAAATAACGACCATCCCGCAACGATAAACAAAAAGGTACATCTTCGAAAAGAAAACAAGCTGGCATAGGATCGGGGTATGACCGTCACCCACTAAACCAACTTGAATACTGAAATTCGACTTGCTCATGCATTTCTACTGACTTCATAGATTCTACGCTTGCACATCTGGGTTAGACATCAAGTCTACGTACATCTTATCCCTCTCAGACCCCGCTTTCTGCAAAGCAGAATATACTGAATTTGTATTCTTTCGTCCGTAGATTCTAGAAAAGGGTCTTATACATGAAGAGGATGACGGCAACTGGGCATCTGGCTTATTATAGAAGAAGCAAGAAACCGTAACTAAAAAAACCAACATCAAAGAGTCTCGGCAATGAAGGTTTCCGATCAAAAAACAAGTAATTTGTGAACCTCAAGAACCTGATTGAATAATAATATGGAATCGATTCTGCTAGAAAGATTTTACCAAGATCTTTGGATAGCAGAACAGCTTGCTTGTTTCATTTTTTGCGGATTTTGACATCAAGAGTCCACTGAACCTTGCCCTCCGGCAAAGGAAGGGATTTGGGCAGTCGAAGTGGCACTTCGAACTCCCCTAAAGTCGACAATGGAGACGTTAATTGAAGGTTTTCAGGCTCGATGTGCACACCAAGCTGTCTTGCCACCTGCCAACATCAGTAAAAATTCAATAATTGATAACCAATTGATAAACACGTTGAATTAATGAAAAATGATTGATCTCTGCTAATACAACAAAATACTGTAAAAATTTCGAATTTTTCTTAATGACAAAGGATTACATTAAATTTCCCATTCTCGGTCTAGAATAGAACTTTACATCCCGCTGCACCGCACAAGTACAATACCGGTCATTAAATGCAACAAAGTTTGTCTCGATTCCTATTTTAGTGTAACAACGAATTTTCAATCCATGTAACAGAGTTTCAAAATTTCATAGTTAACAGAAGAAAATTTCAAAAAGAAAAACTGATGACGTGGATGTCAAGTTCATCACCCACTCCTCAGTAATCTTTCATAGACAACTCGTAAAAGGGTATCAATGTAATGGAATGTTACAAGATTGGCAAGTTACCTACCGGTCAAAATAGGAAATTTTGCAACGTTGTTACATCAATTGAGAAAAGAAATTAGTCGTTACAATAGGAACTAAACCAAAATTTGTTGCATTCTGTCCAAAAATAAATGAAAAAAGATAGTAGAGAATAAATCAAACCTCGGATATAAGTTCATCTTTGTCCACAGGTGAACGCAGTTCAGTATCTATCTTTATAAATCTTCTCAAAACCTACAAGAGACATCAAACAACTCAGACAACTGTTTAATATGGCAATGACTATATATATATAGAGAGAGAGAGAGAGAGAGAGAGGGAGGTTCAAACGAGAACAGTGACTAAATAAAAGAACAGAACGACTAAATCACGTTCAAAATCACATGTGATTTTACACTAAGGGTCAACGTAAAGGTATGTATGCAGGGGCCGTGGCCCGCGACCTCAGGTTGCGGCCAAAGTCGCGTGAATCAAATGTGATTTTACACATGATTTTTGTGTAAAATCACATGTGCTCATACCGTTTTCTTATTATCTTATTTGGTTACTGTTCTCGTAGGACTCTCTCTCTATATATATAATGCTTGTCTCCCCAAACCTCACAGATTAGGATAAAAAACATCTTCCAGGAGGAACAGACATAGGCATCAACACCAATAAGTAAATAACTATGATTTATATCATGAAAGACAATCGCAAAATTAAACTTGAAAGAAAACGAAGGGGATCCCAATTGAATTTAATTGGTAAATGACGTTTGCTCAAAACCTTTAAGAGTCCACAAGCTTATCATTAACATTAAGGGTGGTTTGGTACGCATACGGGACAGGCAACATAACGTAGGTGGGTGAAGGAACCGTGCAAGGTTTTAGTTGGCATGGGTAGTTTAGTAATGTACCAATCTTGTAAGATCTCTCTAATTTAGGAGCTCACATCATTAAGGGTGCATTAGTATGCAAGACTAAATGTGACACTTCAAAAACTTGTCCCACGTTTGGCGCCACATTAGACTTGGGACAGACAAGAATTGAGCGGGACAAAAACGCATTTTTTCCGTCCCACCAAGATAGGTGGAAAAAAATTCAGAGAGTTGGGATAAGATTGGTAAATTATTAAACTATCCATGTCAAATTAAAACCCTAAAATCATCTAGAATTCTTTCACCCGCCTACCTCACTCTTGAAAATCCATTCCTGCAGCGAACCAAACGCACCCTAAGAGAACTACAATCGAACATTTAAACAAGCTAGAGAATTAAACTACAAACCAGCCTAGCATTTTCCAGTCGTCTTGCTGCCGTTCGATATTCTTTCATTGTGTCTTCCTCGGTCTTTGGAACTACCTTCACCTCTTCAACTTCCTTGCGCTGATATAGCTGGTCGAAAATAGATGTTCGAAGGATTAGCATGATTACCCAATAAGGCAATAACAACATAAAAACAAATCCCAAAGGCTCTATCATGTCAAATTTCCCATTTGTTTTTTGAAAATGATTAAATTTTGTTCGTAAAATTCATGAAGAATTGTTCTCCCCCTGCCCTCACTCGATTCAAAATCATATTAAATCTTCAAATGTCAATCACAAAGCCCAGTTCATGACGAACACATAATTAGACAAATGCTCAGTTGGCTCAAATAAACTCAAAAGAGATGCAGACATCAAGAAAACTACCTTCCTCTGCTCGCTGATGAGATAAGCAAATTTATCGATGTTTGGGACTGCAAGCAACTTGGGCATCAGATGGTTGCGAAAATGCCCAGGAGCAACTTTAACGGTTTCACCTGCTTTCCCCAGCTTGTCTATAGTCTGAATTTAACAAAACAAATAATAACTTCATTTAGTTTTATGGAGTTTGCACAACTGCCAATAAGGTTTTGGACCTTCGGGATCCTCCTCAGAGGTCAGCGGTTTAAGTCCTGAAAGGCCACTAGGGAACTTTCTGGTTCTCCAGGTCCATGGGATTAATCAAGGTGGGGGCAAGCTGACCAAACACCCATGGTTAACAGAAAAACAATAATAATTTCATTTCATAGTGGGAGGGAAGGAGTCTCAAAAGCTGATCTACTTACAGTTGTAAGTATAACTTCCAATTTTCTGTATCTAACACCTTGACCAGCATAGAATAATGGATGATGCAGTTCACAATCACAGTTCTTGAAGAGCGTCGTATCTTTTAGAATCTTAGTCTGGCGGAGGATACTTCTACCATACTGGAGGTTAACCATCCTTCGTTTATATATTCAGTCGAACCCCAAAACGTTTATACTCCTAGAATAAGAAGCAATTTGTTAGAAAAGAACTGAAATAATTTGCAAGTTTTAACATAAATCGAAATTTGAAAACCTCAAATAAGCATATAATGTACATGATTGTCAGGCAATCATGAATTTATGATGATTTACTTCAACTGAAAATCAGAATTTTAGGGTTTTACATGAACCAACTAAACTCTAACCATCTGGAATTCAATCAAACCCTAGTTTACAGATAGAAGATTTTGAGATTACTTGGGAGAAGATCTCGTAATGTTGTCCTTTCGGTACTTGAAAATAAGAATGTTAGGGTTTACATCCACCAACTAAACTGTAATAATCTGAAATTCATTAAAACCTCAGTTTAGAGATTAAAGATTAAAGATATTTGAGATTTACTTGAGAGAAGATCTCGTTGTGTTCTCCGTTAGGCGGTGGTCGCCGGCGACGGGGCTTGAGAGGTGGATTCAGCCGTTCTGCTTCTCCAGTAAAGCAATGTTTTGTTTTCCCTACTATGATTTATCAGTGTTACTGAATTTCTAAAAGTGACCACAAGAGTTTTAATTATTCTATACCATGAACCGATCTATTTTATAATTTTCAAATCCACCACGAGAGTTTAGTAAATTATGAAACAACCCCAATATACAAACATTTTTACATACTTGATACCATCGAAAGAAAAAGAAATTGAAGTGCGGATAAAAGAAGCTGCGATTTCTTTTTACGGGGCATTTGGTTTCGAGTAAAGCATGGGAATGATAACGAAAAATATGGTTTGAGTGTAAGCGGCCGTTTATTAAACATTTATTTAGTAAGCGTTTATCAATAAAATTTAACATTATCACTTACTTATCGGGTAAAAATTTAGTCCATTAAAACAAGATTGTATGCAACAATTTATCCGGTAAGCGTTAACAATGGTAAAAGTCGTCATCATCACTTACCAGGTAAGACTTTCGGTTCTTGCGTTCACTCTTACCGTGTAAGATTTTTGGTCATTGTCATATTCGTCAATAAAATAATGCGATTTAATAAACGCTAACTCAAGTAAACGTTTGGTAAATATCCCTTAACTCATGCTTATGGAAATCGAGTCAAGGCTTAATTGATTTAGGTTCCATTCAAATATACAAAAGACAATATAGAATTACAGTCTTGAGATAAAATTACAAAATGGTTTTACGTAATTACAAGTTCAAATAAATAACAGGTTCAAAAAAATATAAATAAACAAAACCAAACCAAACACGAACATGATATAACTCCTCAGAAAACAGAATCCGAAAGGAATAAGATATAAGCAGACGTTATTTAGTAAACAATTCAACTATGTACGACCAAGTACATACACAAGCATACATTAATCGACAACTGTAACAAACAACAACAACATCGTCCCGTGAGTAAACCAACCTAACCTTTGAGACAATCGTTTATGCTAACTACAAATTACGGGGTAATAACCAGGGATTGGAAATAAGAACCGGACTCATTTGATAGAATAAAACGAGTCTTTACTAGATAACGGATGATGAATCTCATTCCCTGAAACGGGCTAGATTCCCCCTCAGTATTACACTAAAACAACTCAGGTAATGCGTTCCCTTTTTATGGATTCTTGACATACGTTAAAGCGTAAACTCATCTTTTTTATAGTATCCAAATGCTGGTTGTAGATCTTAATCAGAAACAACTGTTCGAAGGGGAAGTGAGCTCTCGATTCCCTTGTTCTCAGCAGCATTTCTCTCTGCCACAATCTTGGTCATTCCAAACATCTGGCAATATGCACGAGATCGTAATTGGTCAGTGCTGGAATTTGGTAACAGTTCTTACGATTCATCCATATAAACAAAACAAACCTTTGAGATGCTCTTTTTGAAGCAGGTCTTGTGTTCATCCATTGAAGCATGAATAAACTCATCGATGTGATCTTTCACATCCTGCAAGAAAGTTGCATCATCTGACTTCTTCTTTCGACATGAATCCATGGCTGGAGCTGGAGCAGAAGGAACCTGGCTTTTTTCGGTTGCCATCTTGGTACTACAGCATGACCAAAAACTTCAGTAAAATAGGCTTTCGTTTGAATGAGAAAACCAAGTTCGTAGTCAGAATAACTGATTTAGAGAACGAGACCAATAGCCTTATTGTCATATTCATGGGGATCACTTTTAACCGTATGCATGCAAAATCTTGACTACAACAAGGCGAAACATGAAGCAATTACCCATTTGGAGTTTGGGAAGAGGTCCGAGTCTATCAACATCTTGCTATATGCCGCAAATGGTGCCCATTAATTAAAGCAATGAAGTTGGAAGATGGTTGGAAATTGCTTGTGATGAGTGTTGTAAGAGTGCATTTGGGACACAGGTTATATTGGATAGGAGACGACTGGACTGGATGGGTGAGAGTGAGGTTGGAGGTGAAAGAATTGCAGAATGTTTTAGGATTTTAATTTGACATGTGTAGTTTAGTAATTTAAGTCGTATTTCATCTACTTGATTTTTGTTCCACCTATTTTGATTGGACAAAAAATTGCATTTTTGTACCACTCAGTCCCGTTCTGTCTTAGTCCAATATCCCACCAAACATGGAACAAATAATTTTTGTACTGTTGTACAGTCCTGTCACATCCTGTCACGCGTACCAAACAGACCCTAAAGAAATAAACTACATTCATTCCTTCAATGGGTTCAGTTTATTTTAGTTATTTTGGAACAGAATGGACAAATCTTGCCAAAGGGCTAGGATGGCCCATAATCAAGTCCTATAATCATATACAAAGATAATGAAAGGCTGGTTTTCATGGTAGATAAAACCATGATCTGCGATTCGACTTCTGGTTTCCATTTAACATCACTATCAATCCGGGTCTTTGCACGGCAGTGTGATCTTCTGATCATTACCAGTCTTCATCACCCTTCAATTGCTACTGTTCTTAAAAATGTAAACTAAAGAAATAAAGAATGTATGATGTTTAAACAAGGTTGGGCATATCTCGGTCATGTAATCTGATCTAAAATTGAGTCCTTTAAGTTGCATTTGATAGGCAGACGAGAATGGAAAGGCAGGAGTGAGGCAGGCGGTGAAGAATTGTGGAAGGTTTTAGAGTCTTCATTTGACTAGTTTAATAATTTACCAATGTTGTGTCATCAGATACCATCCTATCCCACCTAGATCCTGTCCTGTTCCAATCTGATGTCAATCCAAACGTGTGACAAGAAGTTTTTGCACTACTCTGTCCAGCTTACCAAACACCCTTATAGTCGTGCAAATCATCTTAATCGTGCCTAGGCCACTAGGGGTGCGTAAAAATCACACACACACACACACACATTGGGATATATCCTAAAGAGCCAAGCTAGTCATCAAGATAAAAGAACCCAACAAGTATCCAAAGAACATAGGAATCACAAATAAATATATACTTGCACAACCAAATATCATGTTAATTCAACTGAACATTGTCCACAATAAGCAATATTCATCAGTTCAAACTGGAATAAATTAAAGAAACGACTTCAAGTAGAAAATTTAATGATTTTAATAACAAAACCAAAGGAAAAAGAATCTAAATCGAAGGCTATTATCGTTCTTGATGTTCGAACTCAAGTAGAAATACATGATTCTTTCTCACTTTTTGGACTTTAAACGCAAGCAATAGATCATGTAAACGAATCCTAAGAAATTATCTCATAATTTTACTTTGCCATAAATCGCAAACGTTAGAAATTACAGGCAAGCTAACTAAACAAATTCTAAATGGATTTTTATATGAACTTTTCTTTTCACTAGGTTCGTAAATCACAATTTCATACCAGAAACCAATAACAGAACGTATCTGTTCATGAGTGTTCATCACAGATTCATCAAACACCTTTTCGAAGACAAATTAGGCCTCCCGTATGGTCATTATTTTGTTTCTAATTGTAAGTTTCATCAATTTCGGCAATCAATTCTTCAAAACCTAAACGAAATTAACTATGAACAAACCCTGGATGACTGAAACCTTGAATCTTCCAAAACCACATCAGATTAAGATCGAATTTTAAAAGTTCTACGACATCAGCGTGTAAAAAATTAATGATTTGACACTTACCGGAAGAACACAACTCTCCAGGAATTATCTTGCGAGACAAGCTTTGCTTGAAGTTCTTTTTTCTTCTGGAGAAATCTCTCCCCCCGCATTGTATATATCGGTCGGTGGACCTTCAAAAAACGTTGTCGTTTTATATCAAGGTCTTGAATATGGGCTGAATGTTGATCCAGCCCATTAGCTCTATTGACCCATTTATTTCTGGATCGACCAATTAAAACATTTGGGTAATACTAACTTGATGTGTACTTATTTGTTAGGGGTTGTTTGTTTACTTTTTAATAGTTCCATTATGTAGTGTTTGGTAAGCAGACTGGATGAGACAAGACAGGACGGTATGGGACATGACAGGACATGACGGGACATGACTAATTGTCTGTCCTATGTTTGGTACGACTAGGACAGGACATGACAAAACTATTAAAATGACCATATTACCTCTAAATGTTGTTCAATGTTATTTTATATCATATAATGATTGTAAAATGACAACAAATCAATCAAAATAGTGTCATTTTAACTTTAGTCCCATGTTGTTCCACCTTTTTTGGTGGAACAAGAAATATCAAGATTTGTCCCACTAAAATTAAAAATAGTCCCACTTTATCTCATGTTTTTTTTGTCAATGGCATGCCAAACATGAGACTATTTTTTTTGTGTCCCATCCTGTCCCATGTAGTCTGCGTACCAAACGCACCCTTAAGAGACAACATCTGAATCATTAAGATGTGAATCTTGTTTGACAAGAAAAAAGTCTGCCTCTTAATGGTTACAAAACCCTCTAAATGATTTTGTATCCTGAATCTCCCTTAACCATTAAGACCCATAATTTCATTGTACACAATTATCAAACAATTATATTTCATTTTGCACTATATCATGAGAGCCTCTTAATCATTCTGTACCAAATCATTCAGCAATTACCAAACAGCCCCTTAGTTCCAAGTTATTTGAAAATATTTGGACAAAAAATTATTTACCAAAAACTTCAACCAATTTTATATGGAACTTGTTTTTAAGTACATCAATCTCAACAGATATTTTTTATCTCACTCAGTGGGCCCCGAGACCAAACCCAGGACCTATATTATATCTGGACAAAGTCGTCACGTCCCTTTACCAACTAAGCTACAAGCTGAAGGTAGTTATTTGATAATATTTGAAGTATGATATTTCTGATGTTTTATATGTTTGTGAGATGTATAACATGCCAAATGTAATTTGATCTGTTATGAATACTGTGTTATCATTGTTATTCATGAAAAGCGTTGGTTTAGATCGATAGAGATGATAACCTGCTAGACATGATCGTCTGCACTTCCTAGAAAAAGCGGACTTGGACAACCATGCTAAAAAAATGGGTAGGCCTAGACTAACCTTTAATATTAATGGACGGAATGACAATTCATTTTGCATTATGAGTCATTGCAATGCCAAACAATCAAGTTTCAGAAGAAGAAAAACCGTATGTCCACGTAATGCTCAATCCTGACGTCTGCAAGACGTTGTTTATAAAATCTTGTAGTATTGAATAGAGATCTTTATCCAACTTAGGGACCGTTTACCAAACACTTAGCCGGTAAGTGCTTGCCGGTAAAATTTAACACTATTATTTACTTACCGGGTAAAATTTTAGTCCACCAAAACGACATCGTGTGCAACAATTTACTCGGTAAGCGCTTACTGTGGTAAGAGTCGTCGCCCTCACTTACCGTGTAAGACTCTTGATCATTGTCTCGTTCTTACCGGGTAAGATTTTTGGTCCTTACCATATTCATCCGGTGAGGTAATGTTACTTGATAAGCGCTTAGCTGGGTAAACGTTTGGTAAACGGCCCCTTAGAGAGAACTGTTTGCGTATTTAAAAACTCAATTATATTCTCTCCATCGCCCGAAAGTTTAATATATCTTTTGAGAGACCGACAAATGCTAAAAACTCATCCATATTTAAATATAAATCACTTGTGTTCTTCATTTATCTTATTATCATTTTAAGTGATTTACTGTTCGTGTGTGAAATTGTGAATAAAGAAAATTACAACAACTATTTTTATTGGGTCGATCAACCTTTAACCGCAAGGTTGCCCAAACAAAAAAGATATTATAAAAATAATTGTACTGATATTTATACAGTAACAGTTTTTCATCAAATATACCAAGATAAATCATGTTTTCAATATAGTTTATAGTATGTAATTATAACCAAAATAGTTTATTAATACGAAATATCAGTAGTCTTACTGGACATAAATAAAAATATTGATCTTAACTTTGTTCCACAAGCATTTTATCAAATTTTTTTACTGTTTAAGGATAATAAACAATTTTGTGAAAGTTCATGATAAGTTGGTGCCTTCATTTGAGAACCCACAGAATTGTGATAATCATGAGAACCGGTGTAACATATGCTATGTTACATGATTTTGTCCCATCTACGGCTTGGATTTAGTATATTGACTAATATATGTTTTGTTAGTTATATTTTTAATGTTGTACATACTTCAGGGGCTAGTTTTATCAATTATTTATAGTCAAGTTAGGTATGTATTCTCTTTGTTCTCTGTGTCTTGGTTCACGCTTTTCTTCAATGAAAGAGAGAGTATTCTATCTTGGTCTCAATCATCATCTTCATCATTGTTGCTATCATCCACCTATCTCTTCTAATTTGGTATCAGAGCATAGGCTTTTGAATCGTTTCATGGTATGTTATCAACATTAATTATTTTTTGCTGCTTTTGATTTCTTTTCTTTGACTTAAATCAACGAATATTCAACACCAATCACCACCGTTCTTCAACACCAATCGACGTCGCCTCCCATATTGGGTGCTCTATCTCCCTACTGTTCTCAATAGAACTCAACACAAGCATTCCCGTGTTCCCCTTTTTTATGGTATCGATTCAAACAATCATCTGCTTTCTAAATTAAGTATCTTAGATTGTTTACCATCTAAAATTATCAGCATTGCTATTGCTCTAATATTGATCATTGTTGCTTATCATTGGCTGATCTTGTCAACATCATTAGGGTTTATTGGTATTATTAGTACACTGTTGTTGCCCGTTGTCAACTGGTATGTGGTTATCTTTCAGAACATGGCAACACCTCTTGTCACACCTCACCATATTTCGATCACTCCCAATGGATCATACTCTATTTTATAGGCTCATCACATGACTAGTTACTTTTAATCTCGTAAGTTGTGGAGAGTTGTCACTGGGGCATTACTATCCAGAAGGAGAAAGAAAGCCGATAAGATTGATATTAGAGATGAAGATTGGTTGTGTAAGAATAGAGAAATTGTTAAAATTCTATGTAATACCTCGACACTCGAGATCAACTAATAGTTTGGTTTATTTGTTACCGGAAAAGAAAGTTGGGATTTTCTAAGGGACCTCTACACCACCAAGGATTTGGCCCATCAATACCAACTTCTTTCGACACTTCACAGCAAGTGCCAACAACTAGGCTAATCCATAAGCGCTTTTCTTATATGAAATGCAGGTTATATGAGATCAACTAACACTTGTTGGACCGACTCTTAAGTGTCAACAAGATGCTATGATTGTCGTTGCTCATCAAAAACAACAACTCGTGATCCTTCTCATGGCACTCCATAAGCGTTATGAACCCTTACGAGATTTACTCTTGCATCTCTCTTCTCTTCCCATACTTGAAGTTGTTGTTACTAAACTAATTTTTAAAGAAACAAGATTGGGTGTCTCTGTTTCACCTACTAATGGAATTTTGTTCACTCCTATTCACATAGGCAACTGAAAGTTCAAAAGAAGCAAATATCTTGTTATGGGCAACAAAAAACCTTTAGAGTGTGTTATCTATCATGATCCTAGCCATCAAATACTCTATTGTCCTAACTTCTTGCAAGTTTTGTGAGAGAAAAAATCACAAGCACCATGTATGTGATTGCTTCAAGAACCCAGATCGTAAAAAAGCTCTTGTTGGGTCCACTACGACTCAAAACTCCTTTACCATGCCTTTTGGGTCACCATAAGCTTAAAGTCTAATACTTATACTTTCAATGATGTGATTAAGCTTATGTAAAAAAGCTCTGGTTGTTGTGTACATGATCCTAGGATGAAGTAATTGGGATAGGCCGTAGAGCGGTCTGATGTTTGAGTTGGTCTACCTCTATATACCTAAAAACTTTATGCCCCTTTCATTTTCAACATCTGTTGATTTACACAACTCTTTTGATACTTGGAATTCAAGATTAGGACATCTTTCATTTGATATACTTAAATTACTTGTTTCATCAAATCACCTATTTCATCTGGTGTTTTAGGTTCTATTAAAAATGAGAAGTTATCTTGCTTGTCATGTCAACATGGAAAATAACATGTGTTACCTTTTTACACCAATGATATTACCTCTGTTGCAACTTTTGATTTGATACACTCTGATGTGTGGGGACCTTCTCCTCATGCTACCAAGGGAGGGTCCAAGTATTTTGCCATATTTCTAGATGGTTATACTCGTTTCACTTAGATCTATCTTATGAAACACATGTCTAAACTACCCCAAATATACATGAATTTCTTACGTATGATCTGAACCCAATTTACCGAACACATAAAAATCCTTCATGCAGATAATGTTGTTGATTACAAAGAACATTCATTCTTTGCATTACTTTGCCAACAAGGCATCATCTCCTAATATTCATGCCCTTGCACATCTCAACAAAATGGTAGGGCTGAACAAAAACATCGCCATATGTTAGATACGATTCATACCTTGTTGACCTTAGCAAATACCTAGAACGTTTCTAGGTTGAGGTTGCTCTTTTAGATTTTTACACCATTAATCATCATCTGACACCTCTTCACCATAATAAGTTTCCATATGAAGCCTTATATGGTATGCCTCCCGCCTATAATCTCCTCAAAGTTTGGGGGTGTGCGTGCTTTGTTCTAATTCAACCTCATGAATGTACCAAACTTCAACCTCATTAATATCGAACATAAAAGATATCATGTTGGGATCCTATCTCCAAACGACTTCGTCTATCTCTTCATGTTTAATCTTGTGAACACGATATATTCTCTTCCATCTCATTATTCCAGTCTTAATTCGACT